GTTATTTGTCGGCATTTTCTGATGTTAATGTTAAGCTTCCATTTTAAGCACCAATTACTAATTTTGTCAAGGTCAATTTGTAGAGCGCGACAATCATCTGCCAACAGCCTGATTGTTGATGTTAAGGTGGATGGAAGATCATTGATATAAATTAGAAGCAAGAGGGGACCAAGGCGCCCGCGCAATTTTTTCCTCTCTTATCTAGCCCCAGCCTTGTACCTGCTCCACGGGCGGTAACTTTAGTGCACTACAACGCTTCTCACGCGTTCAAAGTCTTTCTGAAATTTACCGATCAAATGGTTTCCGATGACGCTGAGCAAGTTTCTAATTCGAACTATATGTGTATTTTCATTAATTAAAAAGTTAATTAACAAATTTTAACTAATTAGCCGACTGATCGTTACAATTAGTCCCCTATACTATGTCCACCTGACCGTATAACCCACCTGCGCAGACCACATTAACCTAGCTTTTATGGTTTGTTTTTAAAAATTCTGTTAAGCTTAAAAAAACACCCTGTATATATATTCTACAACATTCACTTGTTTGTACCATTGAAGTCGAGTGACTGCTGTAGATTTGTTCGACGAGGTGTGAAAGTAAAAACGATGCCGACATTTTTTCCTGTTGAAAGTGTTTTTTTTAAAATAAGTTTTCTTCCTAAAAACACTCGTTTAAAATGTGTTTTTTTTTCAAATACTTTTACGTGTTTTTCCAGCTCCTAAAGATAAAACAAGTTAATTACAAAATTAACTGGAAAGAATCTAGACAACCGGAGGCGTCAACAAGAACAGGCACAAAAGCCCTGCCAAACTCGCGTCGCTCGGAAAACAAAATATACTCCTAAACTCCTAAACCACGAGCCACGCGACAGCCGCTTCCTTCAGATGTAAGCAATTGCCCATCGGCGAAAGAGAAAAAAAAAAAAGAAATGCTGGTCTTAGCGACGTAAAACTTGTAAGCCTTCTATATTCAAAGAAACAAAAATAACGAAAGCCGGGAAAAGACACGTAGCTGCGTCGAAACGGGGTCCGCTATGCCCGGAATCCGCCAAACCGACGCAAACGAACAACGACAGTGTACAGAAAAAAAACGCCTCCCTATTTCCCCACGTCTCGCCAGCAGCTCGGGCAGACTGAGAAGAAGCTACGGCCTCCCAACCGCCACCATCGAGGCACACACACGCATGCCTCTGCCGCAAAGAAGCCGGCTTGAGTATACGACAGGACGGAGAAGGACGGCGAAGACAAAGGCAAAATATAAACGGGAAATCAGGGAAAACGGGCGGTGGTAGGGGGGGGCAGTCACAAACACGGCAGAGTGCCCTCGTGCATCGACGACAGGAGCGCCGAGCAAGGAAAGCTCGCTAACAAGAAAAAAGAGCGCAAAAAAAAAAAAAAAAAGAAGAAAGAAACCGGGCATGTGGACGAGAAGAAACGTAAAACAGGCGATAAAAGGAGCTGATAAATAAAATGCGGCAAAGTAGAAAGGTATGAAGACCATTGGAAGAGAAGGTACACTATAAAGGTGGGTAGGTAAACGGCACTGTAAAACGTAAGAAGGTGAGGGGGAGATTTTTGGGGAAAGGGTGGGGGGCAAGGTTTAAGAGACGGGAGAAACTTGGTAAAATAAGGACGGCAATATATAAAAATGGGGCGGCCTGACTTTTGGAAAATACAAGGGAGGTGGGAGAAGCGAAGGGAAAGCAGGTAAGATTTTGGTTAAGAAACAAGAGTGAGATATCGGAGGTGCGAACGAGAGGTAAAATACAGGGAACCACGAAATAAGAAAACGAAGGACACGGAGGAATGACCCCGGTTAAAAGAAGAGGAGAAGGAAAAGTGAGGAAATGATGAATGACATCCAGGGAGAACTGAGCGCGAAAAAAAAAAAACAGAAATGAGAGTCGACGAGAAAGCAAACAAAACAAAATTGGAAAGAGGAAAATAGGAACGCGAGGTCGTGTGACCACTGCCACCTGACGCATGTTAAAAACTTTAAGTTCTATATTTATTTATTTGAATACCCCCCCCCCCCCCCCCCCCCCCGGCCCGTGAGGGCATGATGATGGTCGAGGGGCAAATACAAAATGAAAGTGACGCTAAAAAACACTAAGACTTAGACAATCGTAGCTCAAAAAAGTGCCTTACCCGCAGCAAATCACATGCAAACTGAAACAAAAATATAAACAAGAACCCAGACCAGCGTAAAGCTATACAACAGGGGTGGCCAGGCTGACCCTGCCTAAGAGCCGCAAATTAAACCACGAAACTTACAAGAGCTGGCGGGTGGGGAAAAAATCCCCCCGCCCCCCCCCCCCTTTTTTTCTTTTTGTCTAGAGCAATAAACAAAATATTAACTACTTTCAGTCTATACAAGTCAAAAGCAGTCCAACTGTGCGTAAGGTAGCAGTAGCACATATCTATCAAACCGCAACCTGTCTTTCGATTTGAAACGCGTTTCATTTCTCTTTTTGGGGAAGTGCTCGTATGAATGGGAGGGAGGCGGGGGAGTGTGTGTGTGTGTATGTGGGGGGGGGGGGATGGGAGGGGAGTAGGGGAGGGAGCCACAAGCCGCACTTTAACACGCCAAAAGCCGCATGCGGCTCGCGAGCCGCAGCTTCGCCACCCATGCTATACACACTCGTAAACATATACAGACAAACTGGAAGTCTGTAGAAAGAATAAGTAGTAAGAATTTCACAGTGCAGAAAAAAGATGGAGAGTTTACCTTTGTTGAGACTATCTCTTCAGGTAGATGATTCCAGTTGAGTATAGTGCAAGGTAAAGATTAGTACTTGAAAATTTCTGTTTTGCTTGAGAAAGAATTAATATTTTTTTCTATAATTTACAGTCAAACCCGTTTATAACGAACAGCAGAAAACGCTACGATCAGTTCGATATAGCAAGTAATTCGATATAACAAAAACCATTTAGAGAGAACTTCTACGATGCTTTCGTTGTAAGGCCGAAAGCTTCTCTTTCTTTCTCATCTCTTCGCTTCGCTGCCGCCTTGTAACTGGGCGCTAAAAAGCTTTTTTTCTTTTTCTTTTTTTGCTTGCGTGCAGAGTTTGTTCTTTCAGCGTATCTCCCCTTGTGAATCGCTTCTCTTCGTGGTCAACCGTTTTGGAATGAATTTTTTTTTCTGTGTGTGCGTGCAGAGGGTATTTTTTTAGCTTTTTTCCTTTTCTGAATCGCTTCTCTTCGTTCAATCTTGTTCTCCACCTGAAATTGGAATTTTCTTTCTCACCCACTTTTTTTAGGGGAGAAGGGACAGGCTAGAAGACGACTGTTTGTGAGTTTTTCGAAGCCTTCCCGGGGGGAAAAGTTCGATATAGCCAATATGCTGTTCGATATAAAAAGTACTTTTTACATGCATTTTTATGTAGTCGCCAAGAGCTAAGGTGAGGTTGAAGTAAATATTTTGTTTTGTCCATTCCACACTGATTGTAATATATATTGTTGAGGAGTTTGAGGCGGAAGCATTGACGACGATTCTGAAGAGGCTGCCACTTGAGCTCGCGTTTCAAGGAGGTTGCACACTGACCACGCGAGTGTACATTAAGGACAAACCTGGCGTTTTAAAGGTGAAGCTCCTTAGGGTCTAGCCTTGTCCGTCCGGCGTCCGTGCTCACATCGATCTTGCTGCTGCTCGTGCTCGTGAGCTCACGTGCTCACAAGTACGTGAGCACGTGTTCACGTGCTCGTGTAGGGCAAAACAAAATGATGAAAAAAAATATGTTTGCGCAGTCGACAGGATTCGAACCTGTGCGGAAAGACCCCAATGGATTTCCGGTCCATCGCCTTAACCACTCGGCCACGACTGCGGGACGAGTAGGGGGCTCTGAGATGTGGTAGTAACTCAAAAGCTGGGGCTTCTGTCATGGATGGAACGTTGCATGTTGTCGCTCAACGTTTATACAGGAGAGGGCGCTGCGGTTAAGCGCGTATATAATCGCGTTAAACTTTGCATGCATTGGCTCAACGTCTATAGACGAGGGAGCGCTGCGGTCAAATGCTCAAATGCGTATATAACCACGTTCCATACCACGTAATCTCTTTCTGACATGGATGAAAACGAACGAAAGGCTCGGCATGCTGCGGCTCAGCGTCTACGCGGATTAGCACCACCAGAGCTTCGCCCCAATCAACATCATTCACCACGCGGAGATGCGGTCAATTTTTTGTTTTGTATTCATTCTATATTTAGTTATCAAATGCTGCTGGTGGGGGTCCCAAACTCCCAAAGCATACTTTAGAATGGGCCGAATATTTGTGACGTACAGAGTCTTTTTGACTTCCTGAGGATAATTTTTTGAAATCACGTTCGATGAAGCCTGGCATCCGAGAGCAGCTCAGACCGCTCTTTTTTTCTTGCGAGGCAAGTCAAAGACCGCGGCACAACCTCGTCCCGCGACTTGCGCTTGTTTATGAAAAGGAGAGGAGGACGCCACGGGCACACTGCGCGGCACTGTCAGCACGGAGGCCATTTCAGCGCGTTTTTCCGTTTTACTCAAACGGAATATCGGTCGGCACCGCATTTTGAAGCTGAAGTGACTGCCCCGAGGGAGGAGTTTCCGCCACAGTAGTTGTTTTAATTTCAGCACTTCATTGTGAAGAAAAAAAAAGAAAATAAAAACTGCCAATCGCTCGTTCGCGTTTAGAGTGTCGTGCTGTGTACCTCCCTGTCCCGCGACCCACGCATGCGCGCTGCGAGAGAGGGAAGGATGTCACGTGAACATCCTTCTCCCGCGCATCCGCACACGTTTCGATGTGACGACAATATTTTTTCAGGACGGGTGACTCAAAGAACTGTTAGCGTATCTAAAAGCGGGGAATGCCACAGAGAGAAACACGCGAGATAAAGCGTATGCTTTCCGCTGGTGTTTTTGTAGGGCCGAGAATGGCTCCCGACAACGAAGGAAATGTACGATCCAGAAGTAGGCGGATGTTTCTAAGTGAGTATAAATATCGGAGGGAAAGAGAGGAAGTCTAGCTCACCGAAGGCCCTCTGCACTGGAAGGAGGCTGGCGAGGAGGCAGAGAGGAAGCAGGAGCGAGTCCCGGGTCGGGCGGAGAAGGCGACGGCGGCGGCGCTTGCCGTCGGCCCGGGACGTCGAGCCATCCTGCTCCATCCTCGAACGACGCGCTCGCAGCTGGAATCCCAGCGGGCCCGCGCTCCAGCCACGCCCGCCGCCAGAACCTGCGGGCGCAAAGGGGCGCCGCGCTGTCAACTGGGCCGCCTTGGAGGCTACTAGGTACTAATGCGGAATACACCCGGCCCATTTGGAGCGATCCGAAAGCGCTCACTGCTGGCGCCTTTAGTGCAGTAGCCAGGTAGATCTGAGCGCGCGCACGATCAAGAAGATACCAACGAAACAAAAACAAAAAAATACGCTACAAAACCACTCCAAATCACGGAAGAGAGCTCTCCTAATTTCGCGGTGTAAAATGTTCCGTATAAGATGCTGTGCGACACTCTGAAACATCTAGCGCGTCTACCATTTCTCAAGGTACTTGAGAGAGACAATTGCTGCAATCTACAGATAACAAAACTAAAAATATGTTCAGATCTAAAAAAAAAATAAAAAAAAACAGTCTGCGTTGTAACTTTGCGTATGACGTATTCACGTGGAATGTCATGCCCAGTGCCCCAACGCAGACTAATTATCTAGGTCTAATCTAACTTTCAGCCTCGTCTTTCGGCGGGCATTCTCCGTAGATAGTCCGTAGATAGCGGCGGTTGGCTCTCGCGTCGTGGGGGAAACTAGACTCACGTAAGCAGAGGTGTGAAACTCGCGGCTCGCGGACCGCATACGGCGGGCGACTCTCTGCGATGCTGCCCACAAGCATCCCGCGGCTGCAAGCTCCCGATCCCAGGCCTCGAGCGCCAGATGGGCGATAAATAATAGTTTCATATCGTCGATTCATTTCCGTTTGAAAAGGAGCTGTGCTCGGTTCACGAATTTGGCACAATTCTATATTTTTTTCACCGACTATTGCTTCTAATAAATATTTGCTCTCTGCTCTTTCTCCTGCACATCAACCGGAATGGCAATGCCACTACTAGGGTATAGTGAGTATTAACTAGCGGCCGCGCGGCCACAGATGTGTGCCCGACTGCTGAACTCCTGCTAATAGCAAGCTTTAACAGTTGTTTTGAAACGTGCAATCCACACCATCAATATTGCCGGTCATAGCAGCCTATTAATGTGAGCTGGTTCTGAGCATGCGCTTTAAACTGTGCCCTCAAATATGACGTCCAGTGCGGGCTCCTTGCTCAAGGAGGCACCTCAACTGAGCGAACTCTTTTTTAACAGGAGCAACGGCCAAAGATAAGGCTACCAGCTCTGGCTTCTAGCTGTCAGAGACAATACCTTTAAAATATGAAAGTACGTTCTTACAATGCTGTTATAAAAATCGTCAGGGAAGTAAATAATTGTCGTACGAAGATATTTTTTCTATGCCTGTTGGTACCGGTTCTATCGAACGCTACCAGTACTCTTGCACGGTGGTATTTCAAATCTTTTTATAACATCAGGTGTGGGCCAAAAGTTGCCATTTATGCAAATGAAAGCTAAAACTAAACTTATCAGAAAAAAAAAAACCCCGAGGCTTTTTGTTTAGAAAATTTCTGGGGTGTCGCTTGTACAGTCAGCTGTTTTGCAACGTGTGGAATACACGAAACGCTCGAAATATTATCGGCGTATTGCATCTGAAACGACACAAACCTGAAGGTAAATTCAATCGCTGTAAACTGATACAATATTCTGAGTACTCACCCCCAATTTCTGTCGGCGTCTCCGCAGTGGCGGATGCCATAAGCACAGGCGGAAGCCCCGAGGAGCACTTTCGCCTACGTTTCTAACCACTCAGCATGGCCGCGCAACATGACGCTCGCGAGATGGTGCATCAGTATTCAAAATTGTGCTGCCCACGATAAAACGGTCTGTACGTCACGTGACGTCTATTCTCCCGCTATATTTTGCGGGTAACTGATTTGGTGTATAGGTCAAGTGACTTCCATTTCTGGCCTAATTTAGCAGGGAAACTGAATTGATGTTTTGGCCACAAGACGCGAATTTTCCCGCTAAATTCAGCGGGCAAATTGAGTTGACATATAGTTCACGTGCCGTCGATTTTCCCAAGGTGTACAGATTTTTTGCAAAAAGAGCTTTCTGACCGCTGCCATTTTGCGACTCGAGTGACCCCTATTAGTCAGAAATATCTGCCACACGCCTGAGCCGACCCGCTCAGCGCGACACCCTTCCTGCACTGCGCATTCGGGGTTCGACAGCTTTTCTTAAAGTTTTTACTTCATTTGCCTGTTCAGGATGCTCACCCTTTTTATATTACCTTCCACATTGAAAACCAGGGAATACCAAAGCTCATAGCCCGCTCGGCCTTCGCAGGAAACAAACGAAGAAAGTCAAAGTCAAGCAGTTCGCGACGCGGGCCGTTCAACGGTCTTCGGGATTATTTTTGTTGATACAGTCTCCAATAACTCTTCCCGGCTATGTTCCCGGTATTCTCGAAAAATAGCGGGTAGGGTCGGGTCCGGGGTGTGGGGACGGCATAGACACGGTAGATCATTTAAATTACTACTATGCAAAAAAAAAAATGTTTTTTTTATAAAACGTGTCCTATAACAAGCCGGATTCCTTCCGATCGTCATGAAGTGACTGTCGTCGACACTGTATATTGCATATGTATATTGCATATCCTGGCTCCGCCGTTTTTTGGCTTTCGGCGGGTTCCTGAAAACTGTGATTCTTTGATTCATTGGATTAAGTACGGTTCATTCATCTGCACATATTCGTTTATATCCTCCTCGGAGGCCACGTACGATGGTGTGGAGTGCCCGTGTTGTACATATATATATACACACACACACGTTTCCTCGCCTCTCCGGACGGCACTGAAGGCAAAACGATACGGTAATACTTGGTAGCAGCAATAATCCCGATAGCCGAGTCACCGCAGCCCGCGGAAGTCGTTATCAGAACTCCGCGGGAGCCTGCCATTCTTGCGTCTGTATTCGACGAGTGCCGGAAAAAGAACGAGGAGCCACCGAGGAAGCGAAGACGGTGATATGATACTCAAATGACGATGTTGACGAATAATGATTTTAAGGTCGTAATGCGTTTTACCTCCGAATTCAGCGGAGAAACTGAATTGGTACATAGGTCACGTGACGTCAATATTTCCGTCGAATTTAGCGGGAAAACTGAATTGGTACTTTGATCACGTCACGCATTTCTTTCCGCTATATTTAACGAGGAACCTGAATTTGTCTTTAGGTCCCGTGACGCCAAGTCACTTGAGATAATTTTCCCGCCAAATTTTGCGTGGAAACGTTTCGTTTACGCTCACGCCGTCGCAAAACCGCGGGACAAGTACCTAACAACTACCGGAGTAAAAAAAAGTGGTGTACGTATGCAATAGAGTTTTAGGGAACCGTTTTTGCACATCCGATACGGTACGATGGGCCTTCCGGTACGAACTGCGCATGCGCTGCCGCAGAAAAGTCGCATATGCGCAGTTCGTACCTGAGGGCCCATCGCAGCGTATCCGATGTACAAAGGCGGTTCCCTAAAACCCTCTATTGAGTATCGCTTACGGTGCCTGAACCGCGTCTCCGACTGGTGTGTTTCGCGTCTTCTTCCGCCCAATGGATCGAAAGCTGACCCGAAGCGGCAACAAATGACGTCACAAAAGCCGGAGTGTAAGGTTGTCCAATGTCGCGATCCTGTCGGTTGGGAGTAGGAGTTTTGAAAAGAAAGCATTAGAGAACGCGAGTGTCGCTGTCCTCGGGGCGTCCCAACTTCTGACCGCCGAAGCTTCCCTAACAGGCGTCTGCCACAGCCAGACGCCTGTTAGGGAAGCTTGAAGGCTGACAGAATACTGTCAGCCTTCAAGTGAAGGCTGACAGTATTCTTAAATAAATAAAAATAAAATAAAATAAAATAAATAAATGAACGGCCTGTTCTTCGATCGAGAAGACGGCGCGATTGTTTCATCAAATTCTTTCTGTTGTCCATGGTTGTTTGGCGCTTTTCGAATCTAACATGTACCAACTTGCCCAACCCCAAAATATTTTGAGTTGAAATTCCTGTTTACCAACGACTCGTTCCCTGGACGAATTCTTCTTCGGTAATCCGAGCTCGACCTTGAGTTCTTGGGGGGGGGGGGGGGGGGGGGGGAGGCTTAAAGGGACATTGCACTCCCAAACCAATTTTTATATATGCCTGGATAGGACACACATGTAAAAAAGATAAAGGACTCTTCTTAAACAATACTTTTCTAGCATAACATGTACAAATATGCTTCGGTTTTGGGTCGAATCGACGTTTCAGCATAGAAGCATGTTTCGGAATCGATTTTAGTTTAAAATCTGTAACACAACGTAACATATTGCGCTAAAAGATATTTTTAGGGAAAATCTTATTTTGAGAAATACCTGTCCTAATATGCAAATGTTGTGGGGAGATTAAGGACCGTTTAAAAGACCTGCTACTAAAACCCATCGTCGCGTTGCCCGGATTTCCCATAATCGCCGGATGTTTTCGTTATTTTTATGTTCGTTCCCAGCTGGTTGAATTCGCCATGCTTCCAGTTGAATGCCGCACTAAATAAAGGTTTAATATCCGGTGTATTCTGGATGTCCTCCTGTCGTAGCCTGACAGAGACATAAATAGAAAAGCTCAATTGATCGAGTATAGCTCGAGCAGCAGCTCAACTCACTATTGCGTCATGCACGTTCAAGACCCTGCAGGCTCGCAGTGGTAGTGCACTGGCCAAAGTTTTAATCTACAACGAAGACACGAGACGCCTATTAGGGCTCACTAACTTCCCGCTGGCTAAACAAACACGCAGTACAATTACGAGCAGTGAAGCTCAGCCGCTGAAGACACACATGAAAGCTGATGATTGCATTTTCAATACCCGATTAGGTAGTCATTCGGGTTACAATCATTTTATGAACCAATAGGGCGATATCACTCAATTACTTTGCTCGAAACGTCGAGCGATGTTGCCTTTTAATACTCCTGTATGTCATCTTTAA